ATTAGCCAAATGAAAGCCTGTGTGATAGGAAAGTGGTAGGTCAGACCAAGTGACCCAAGAAGCTTGGCGAAAAATGCAGAGACCTGGTCCTGTAAAAGGGTCCTGTAGGAGGGCTCTGTAAAATGCAGTGTGAAGCTTCCTGGAAACAACCTGTCAAAGGCTTTTACCTTCACTGAGCTCAAGGTCTGGTAGAAAAAAAAATCTAGACAATGAAACAGAAGAGGCAAGTATACTAAAGATACGCTCATTTTATCTGTCCTTATGGAAAAAGAACTTGAGTGCTGCTGATTAATCAAGAATTTTCAAGGACTTCAAGGCTTGAGTTGAAACTGAAATTTGAGTGGGAGTTTCCCAATAGACAAAGAGAAAGTGAATGAAAGAGGATGAATGAAAGGGAATGAATGGAAGAGAATGAAAGAGAAAGGAACCAGCAACCAAGACTCTGGGGATAGAATTACTTCAATGTGGATGAAGTTGGGCTAGGGCTTTGTTCAGGAGCTCAGAGGTTTTCCTAGGGGGAATGGATGGAAAGTCTCTTTAAAGACTTAGAAAACTTACAAGTAGGGATGTGGCCTCTAAGAAAGAATTTCAAGGTCAACTGGAGGATGACTTTGAGGGACATGAGAACTGGTGTAGGAGGATCTGGTAATTACTGCATCAAAATAATGCTTTTTAAAATTATTTAAAAGTAAATTTTAGGGGGTGAATTTGTAGTAGGAGTGGGGAGGAGAAAATGGTTTCAAGAGTTGTTTTGGAAATGGAAGGAACTAACTTTGTATAACCAGCATATTAAAAACAGGCCCATCTTATGTAAGAAAAAAAACCTGATGATAGTTTCACTAATCTATTAATGTCTGAAAACAACTCCAGGCCAGCCCTGGTCCCAGGAAACTGAGGAAGCTCAGTGGTGTGTGTATGGGGGGGGGCAGGGCTTTTTACTCAGTAATTCCATTTTGCCTCCCCCAGGTCAGGATGCCCCCCCCCTTCCCACCCGCACTCCCATGCCTGAGAACTCCTCTTCACTTCGTGGCCCTGGATTTATTCTCTCCATACTGCACCATAAACATCAAAGACATCCTAACTGTAGGCACCTAACCACACAAGGACACACAAGAAACAACTCCAGACTGCAAAGATAACAATAGTGAAGCAACGCAGAACCCCACCAGGCTTAGTTGAGTGAAGATGCTAGCCTGGAAGACTCAACCAGTAATAACAAGCTAAATAAATAACCTCACTGATAAGGAATTTAGAGAGAAATTTTGTTGAGGATGTGTAAGGAGCTCAAAGAAACAATGGAACAGACCCCCAATAAAACACAAGCTAAAACGAAGAAACTACAAGCAGAAACGACAGAAGTGAGAACAGTTCCTTTTTCTCGGAGGATTTTTAATTTAAAAGAATATTCCTGGGATGTGTCTATGAAATCATGGAGTTTCAGATGCTTTAGATCTAAGGTATTTATTGGGTGGGGAAGGGAAGGCAGAATGAGGAAACACTGATTAACGTAATTGTATATATTTCACAAGTCCTTTTACATACCTTTGCAAAAGTAGGCAAAAGTAAGCTGTCAAGGCTGGAGAGATAGTACTTTAAGGTACTTGCAGACTTTGGTTCTGTCCCCGGCACCACATGTGGTTGCCAGAGCACCACCAGGGGTCAGTTCTCAGCACAGCCCAGGAATATCTCCTGAGCCATGCAGGAAAATGTGGCTGAAAACCACCTCCCCCTCCTCCCCCAAAATAATTCCAACCACCACAAGGCTGAAATTCCTCCACCACCATCTGTTGACACCCCTTACACACTCATATCCTTTGTGCCCCCAAAACCCCCACCTCTGGCAACTTTACTTCTATGGACTTGAATCCAAAGGTTAGTTTTGCAACGATTTTGTCTTTCCTCCCAATTTGCTTCTTTGTATCTTACATATGAGTAAGATTATCCTGTGTTTTCTTTGTTTTCTCAATTTCTTTTTGTTTAACTCAGTGTTATGTTCCCACCCACCCCAAGGTTAATTTGCTTACGTTAGTTCTCTTGGTTGTTTCCACGATATAGGCATGTATCGCTATAACCTTGCCTTTTAATATTGCCTTTGCCACATCCTATACATTCTGCTGGCCGGCTTTATTTTTGTTTGTTTCCAGATATGTAAAAATTTCTCTTTTGATGATCTCATTAACCTAGTAGTTTCTCATTAGCATGTTTAGTCTCCATAAGTATAAGAATTTTCTTCTTTTTTTTCTATTTCATTTTTATGGAGCTACACCTGAAAGTCTACAGGGGGATCACCCTGGTGGGACTGAACCTAGGCTTCCAGCATGCAAAGTCTGTGCTCCAGTTCAATGAACCATGTCTCCAGTTCTGATTTTCATCTTTCTTTTCTTTTGAGAGATAGTTCAACAGGCTGAGCCAAACTTTGTGTGGCAGAGAACTCGATTCAATACTCAGCACTGCGTGGCTCCCGGGGTGACCCCACACACACACAGAGGAGTAGCTCCCAGACCCCCTGTCCTATGCAAAAATAAAAATAAGAAGAAGGTTTTCTGGGGCTCAACCTCGTCTTCAACTTGGGTGAAAATTTGAGCAGATTTGGAGCCGGAGAGATAGTACAGCGGGTAAGATGATTGCCTTGCACATGGCTGACCCAGGTTCCATCCCCAGCAACCCATATGGTCCCCTGAACACTGCCACGAGTGATCCCTGAGTGCAGAGTCAGGACTAACCCCTGAACCCTGAATATTGCGGGTGTTGCCTAAAACCAAAATAAATATTAAACTAAAAACTAGCATACCTCATGAATTTTCTGGCTATTTTTATATGATAAATGTACATATCCATTTTATTCATTTGTCCACTTTTAGTTTAAAAGGCCACACCTGGTGGTGTTCAGGGATCACTCCTGGCAGTGTAAGTCTGTGCTCAAGGATTAATCCTGGCACTGTTTGGTGGATCATGTGTGGTGCCAGGGATGGAGCCAGGGTCAGCTACACACAAGACAAGTGCCTTAATCCCTGTACTATGTCTTCAGCCCTACACATTCATTTCATTTTATTTTTATAAAGTTGCTCACAATAATTCATTACATTTAATATTCAAACGCCAATCCCACCACCATTGCACCTTTCCACCACCATATTTTGAATCTTTCCACCCCAAATCCCAAACTGTGCCTTCCAATGCCAGACTGAAACAATTTTATATTGTTTGGTATGAATAATCTGCTACAAATGGATCAATAAAGTTTCCTTAGAGGAAATTGTGTGAAGGTTGTTGTATTTCATCCTGGAGCCACCAAGGCACCTTGTATAAGGGATTACTAATGTGTTTGTTAAACCCCATCAAATGTTGTGTGCTGCTCTTGTTACATCAGTGATATAGATATGACATGTTGCACACTCCAGGAATTCTAAAATTTAGAATATGATTTCCACACTCACAGTCGAAGTTGGCCAGCATCTGTGCCACTTGGCTAATGTTTGGCATTATTAGAATGATGTCATCAGTGAAGTAGAGGTGGTGCAGTTGCCGACCGTCTATCTTCACTCCCATTTCTCCCCATTCCATTCGTCGCAAAGGTCGGACTACAGCTGAATCTCACAAAGACAATGTTTATGAGAAACGGTCTCATTCATGACTTTCCATTCGCTCTCAATAGAACGAACATCTCCGAATGCAACAGTTATGTGTACCTATATCGAGAAGTCAACATGACAAATGACCTGGCACCTGAATTGCGCAGGAGGAAGAGAGCAGCTTGGAACGCCTTCAAGAGCGTTGAAGAAATAGCTAAGAGGACGAAGAACCTCCAGCTCTGGGCACATCTCTTCGATTCCACTGTTCTTCCTGCATTAACATACGCCTCAGAGACCTAGGCCCTACGAAAACAGGATAAGAATGTTATTCGGGTCTCCTAAAGAGGAATCAAAAGAGCTATACTTGGAGTATCACACTTCACTCAAATGAGAGAAAGAATCCGGAGTTCTGACCTCCATCAACGGTCAAGGATCAGGGATGCTGATTGAAAAGCCAAGCCGTCGAAAATCAGATGGGCTGGAAATGACAGGTGTTATAAATCTCACCAAATTTGGCAATATTTAAAGATCATTCTAGGTTCTTGTATAATTCTAGGGGAACTTCGGCCTCATATTTCCTTCTGTGAGAGATGCCTTTTCTGACCACAGGGCTTCTTGAAAAACCATATGTGGTAAAGAACAAGGTTTGTTTGTTAAGAAGGAATCATAGAGGAGCTGGAGAGATAATAGAGACGTTAAGGCACTTGCCTTGCATGCAGCTCTCATTGATTCAAATCCTGTTCACCACCTATGAGTTCTGCCAGGGGTCAGTCCTGAGCATAGAGCCCCAAATAGCCCCTGACCACAGCCACATGTAACTCCCCAAACTAAAAGTATATAAATTTTTAAAAAAGAAAAAAGGGAACTATAATTTTCAATTATTTCCATTTTGAAAATGATACAGAACACATGAATTGCTGGGAAAATAAATTTAAAATAAATCAGATGCAGTCCTACACATGAAGTGATAACATGCTACAGACATAAGAATTGCTCTGTTAAACTGCTATAAAATTATTGAACAGCTTACTTCACATTTCCATACTTTTTCCAACCTTGTAGACAGGTAACAAATTATTCAGGGACTACCGTCTGCTCTCAGGCTGAAGCTCATTGATCACAGATGTAGTTCGTTGTTTGCTGACCACCCCCCACCCACTCCTACCCCAGCAATCTAGTACCTAGCAGGATGGCAGCATTTGACTTTCTCTCAGATTACCCAATGGGGCTGCCTCTGCAGCCTTATAGTCCAGATATCTCCAGGAGATAACCCTCAGGTTGGGTTGAAATAATAACAAACCCTTCCTATAAAGAGGTCCCTCCTCATTTTGGGGATCTAGAAATATACTATATTTTATGATGTAAAGATTATCTAAAACTGATCAAGTCAAGTATTTTAAAATGACAAGATTATGTTGGATTTTCCAGGTGGGTACCAGGTAATCAGAAGGATCTTTACAAGAGCACTGAGGCTGCAACAGAACTAGAGAAGACCGGATGAAAGGAGGAGAGGTTGGGATGATGCCCACAGGGATAAGAGTACCCTCTAGAAACTGCACAAGGCAAGAAAATAAAATTCTCCTCTAGAAGTCACAGAAGAAATACAGCCCTTGTCACTTCTTGATTTTAGCCTTCTGGGACTTTGGACCTCCAGAACAGTAAGATAATCAATTTGTGCTGTTTAAGACATACTGTTTGTTATAGCTGTTATAGTAATAGTAAGAAACTAATACAAGCTAGAGTCAGACTCCAACTCTCTGGAACTCAACATTTGAAGGGACACAGAATAACAGGGGGATCTGTGTAAAGTTCTTCTGTTTTGACTTCAGTCAGATTTTACTTTCATTTTTAAACAGCATGAATGTTTGGCAAAGTTCTCTTTTAAGCAGCTTTATTGTTTGCAAGAAAAAAGAAAAGATCAAAGCCTCAACTTCACTGGCAGTGCTAATGATCAATTTTGAGAAAAATAAAAGACATTCCCCAAACTACAAACCTTAAATTTGCAATTTTACTTCTCTGTCATTCTTTACCGGCATTAATTGTTTATAATTAGAAGGGATCTGCAATTAGCAATTTAATTTATTTGATTGCTTCAATAATTTTCTCTGACACTTTTCTTTCATCCAAATACTGTAAAGTGCTTTGCAGAAATTAGATTTCATACAAATTGTGTAATTAATCCTTCTTTGTAGATTTTTGCTTAATAGTGTTAGCAGAAATCTGAAAATGATATATGCAAACCTAAGTTTCTTAGGATAAAATAGCACTTAAAAGCAATTTGCTTTTGTTTTACTTACCTGACTTTCACTGTTCAGCGATACATGACTATTATCATTGTTCATAATAAATCAAACATGATGGCCTAATGCCAATTTCTGAAAGCGCTTCAGCTATTAGAGGGTCTACTTTTAAGTCAGTAGAAGCTCTGTGTTTAATATAAATGAACTGAGGTTCAGAGAGAAGGACTAGACTTAAAGTTCACAGCCCTCAGCAATGTTCCTATTCTTATTTCACATTGTGTATATTTGGCTGACTATTTAAAATGTTAAGACAATGCGTTAAATTCCACAGAATGTCAGAATTTATTTCTCTTGATTAATTGCCCAGGAAATATTTCTAAGAAACTGTGTGATCACCCTCTTCAATATAACTATTTCTAGTCGTTGCCCTCTTCATCACTATTTCATATACATAAGATCAAAGAAATCTAATAAGGAACCAGAGATAGGAACTTGAGCAGATCCTTAATGAAAGGTCTGATTTCCTAACCAAGGCAAATGCTTTCCTTAGAATAATTAAATTTTAGGTAAAAACCATCACACTTTCTTTAAATAATTTTTTTTTATTCCTCTGGGTTCTCATGTATGCTGAAAAGATGATAAAGGAACTGAAAGAAGAGATATGCTTTGGTTTTCACTTACCACTGTTCTGCGGCTCCTATCAAAGAAACTCAGTTCATTTTGATTGAATAAGTTGATAGAAATGAACAAAGAGAATAGACTGAAGTACAAATGGGAAAGTTTGGTTTAATAGGATGAACAAAAGACTGGGACATGAAGCTGACATTTAACAGTCTTTGGTCTCAGATACTAATTTTGACTTGTGATGATGATTTCTTGGTGAGGAATAAAATAAATTCCTTGGAACTCCCTTAACTTCGTGTTCTTGAGAAACATGCATTTAAAAAGTGAAACAGTCTTATAAGGAGACACAGAAAGTTCAATTAAATTTATACTTATCTTAAAGGCAGAAAGAAGGCCAATGTAGACAATTGGGAAAAACAAGTGAAAACTTGAATTCATGTTATTACACTGCTTATACTTGACATTCAAAACTAACCTTTTTGCTTTTGTTTTGAAAGATTAAAAAACCTTCTTTTTAAAAAATTGAATCACTGTGAGATAGTTCATTACAAAGTTGTTCATGATAGGGTTTCATAATACAGCATTCCAACACCTATCCCTCCACCAGTATACATTCCCCAGCACCAATGTCCCCAGTTCTCCTCCTACCGCTCCCAAAAGTGTCCCCCTCCCCAACCTGCCTTTATGGCAAGCACCTTTCTTCTCTCACTGTGTCTCTCTGTCTCTATCTCTCTCTGTTTCTCCCTGCATCTCACTCCTTTTGGGCATTTGGTTTGCAATACAGATACTGAAAGGTTATCATGTATATACCATTACCTATTTTCAATACTCAGTTCTTATCCAGTGTGATAATTTCCAACTACTATTGTCAAACTGAGAGTTCCCTTCTCTGTCTTAACTACTCTCCACCTCACACCTACGTGTGGTAGATTCCATCCATTGACCAGTTCTCCTGGCCCCTGTTTTCCTTGGCCTTGGATATTAGTCTCATGCCATTTTTTTCTATATACAACAAATAAATGCAGCCAATGAAAAGATTCCCCCACCTTTAACTGATCTGGAAACTTGGAGTGATTAATAATATGTCCAAATACCTGTTAGTAGATTTGAATTTCACATATGCTTGTTGAAGAAGTGCTAGTCCTCAATACTTTTCTAGGCTGCCACCAGAAACTCCTTTTTTTTTTTGTTTGCAGTCACACCTGGAGATGTTCAGATCACTTCTGGCAGACTCAGGGAACCATTACCACCACTCAGGGTGTTGGGAATAAATGACGGTTGGTCACATGCAAGGCAAATGCTCTACCCACTTTACTATTACTCCAGCCTCAGAAATGACATTTTAAGCAATTTACTAATTTAAATAAAAATTCTGCCTCAATAGAAGAATTCACAGAACTCTAATTAAGGTCACTGTTATTTTAGCAATACACATTGGGCTTTAAATGTCAACTTTTGTAAAATCCCCCCCCCCCCTTTTTTTCAGGATAATCAGAAAGAATCTTTTTTTTTTACATATATTTTTATTAGTGAAACACCATGAGGTACAGTTGTAGACTTACAAATTTTTGTGCTTGGGTTTTGATTATACAATGATCAAATACCCATCCCTCCACCAGTGCCCATTTTCCACCACCATGATTCCCAGTATCCCTCCCACCCCCATCCCCCCCATCCCACCCTGCCTCTGTGGCAGGGCATTCCCTTTTGTTTTTTCTCTCCTTTTGGGTGTTGTGGTCTGTAAAAGAGGCATTGAGTGGCAATCATGTTCAGTCCATAGTCTACTTTCAACATGCATCTCCCCTCCTGGGAGGATCCTCCAAACACACTTTATTTGGTGCTCCCTTCTCTATCTGAGCTGCCCTTTCCCCTAGAATGCCCAGCTGGCCTCTAAGCCATGGAGTAATCCTCCTGGTACTGATCTCGGCTATTCTTGGGTATTAATCTCCTATTTTGTTACTTTATGTCCCCCAGATGAATGCAATCTTTTTATGTCTATCCCTCTCTTTATGATTCATTTCGCTTAGCATGATACTTTCCATGTAGTACCACTTGTATGTAAATTTCATGACTTCATCTTTTCTAACAGCTACATAGTACTCCATTGTGTAGATGTACCAAAGTTTCTTTAACCAGTCATCTGTTCTTGGGCATTCAGGTTTTTTCCAGATTCTGGCTATTGTAAAGAGTGCTGCAATGAACAAACAAGTGCAGATGTCACTTCGACTACACATTTTTGCCTCTCTGGGATATATTCCCAGGAGTGGTATTGCTGGGTCAAATGGGAGCTTAATTTCTATTTTTTTGAGAATCATCCATACTGTTTTCCAAAAGGGCTGAACCATTCGGCATTCCCACCAACAGTGAAGGAGAGTCCCTAGAAAGAATATTTTTAAATAGATTAGTTTGTTTGTTTTTGTGCCACACGTGGGGGTAATAAGGGTTCTGCATGCAGGGATCACTCCTGGTTGTGCCAGAGGAGCATATGGGGTGCCCAGGATCAAACCTAGGTTAGCTGCATGAAGGACAAGCACCCTACCCATGGTCTGCCCATCTCTCTAGCTCCTAGACTTTTAACTTACATGTAGAAATGATCCATGGACTGACATCAGACTTCTCTTTTCATAGTATGTAGACTCAGAGGCAATATGATACTTTCCTAAGCCTGAGCCTCCCTCTGTTTACAAAACAGCCTGAGATTGAGGGCATTCGAGACATTGTATGGTTGGCACTTTAGCACAAATACCATCACTGCTTCTCATCCAATCCTCTCATCAGCAAACAAGAGAGACTTAGGCAGAAGGAAACAAGGAGCAGTAATTCCAAATGGGAACTCATTCCTTCCTTATTTTCCTTTGAGTTGTGTTACAGCAGAGGCAGAGAGACCCTGGACTTACCAGGCAGATAGGTCTAGGTGGTGCCCTTCATTGATGTGTTATTGTCTAAGTCCCTGTAACTTCATCTAAAATTAGGAAAATTCAACACAACAAGATTGTGTGTTAACTATAGTCTCTGGTAACTAGAAGGTACCCAATGAATGACATTGTTACCATTGAGGTGAAGAGTAAAGGAGAAATTATTGCTCCTCTCTTATGTGGAAGGGAGGAAAATGGATGCATATTTATATAAAAATTATGGCCACCAGTAGAACTAAAACTATTAAAGATGGTTCCACCTTCACAGCCCACTGAGGTCACTGAGGGTTGGCAGTATGGGGAAATTCCCAGGCCTCTGGAGTTGGTTTGAAGAGTGCTGCGGATATTAGTCTGAAAGGAAGCTGATCTAACTTTTTTTTTCTTTTTTTAAAAAATTTTTTTTTTTTATTTTTAGTGAAACACCATGAGGTACAGTTGTAGATTTACAATTTTTTGTGCTTGGGTTTTGATTATACAATGATCAAATACCCATCCCTCCACCAGTGCCCATTTTCCACCACCATGGATAATATCCCTCCCACCCCCATCCCTCCCATCTCACCTTGCCTCTGTGGCAGGGCAATCCCTTGTGTTCTCTCTCTCCTTTTGAGTGTTGTGGTCTGCAAAAGAGGCTTTGAGTGGCAAACATGTTCAGTCCATAGTCTACTTTCAACATGCATCTCCCCTCCTGGGAGGATCCTCCAAACACACTTTATTTGGTGCTCCCTTCTCTACCTGAGCTGCCCTTTCCCCTAGAATACCTGACTGGCCTCTGAGCTATGGAGTAATCCTCCTGGTGTTGATCTCAGCTATTCTTGGGTATTAATCTCATATTTTGTTTCTTTATATTCCCCAGATGAATGAAATCTTTCTATGTCTATCCCTCTCTTTCTGACTCATTTCGCTTAGCATGATACTTTCCATGTTGTACCACTTGTATGTAAATTTCATGACTTCATCTTTTCTAACAGCTACATAGTACTCCATTGTGTAGATGTACCAAAGTCTCTTTAACCAGTCATCTGTTCTTGGGCATTCAGGTTTCTTCCAGGTTCTGGCTATTGTAAAGAGTGCTGCAATGAACAACCAAGTGCAGATGTTACTTCGACTATACATTTTTGCCTCTCTGGGACATATTCCCAGGAGTGGTATTGCTGGGTCAAATGGGAGCTCAATTTCTAATTTTTTGAGAATTGTCCAAACTGTTTTCCAGAAAGGCTGAACCAGTCGACATTCGCACCAACAGTGAAACAGTGTCCTTTTCTCGCCACATCCGTGCCAGCATCGGTTGCTTTTGTTCTTTTGGATGTGGGCCAGTCTCTGAGGTGTGAGATGGTATCTCATTGTGGTTTTGATCTGCATCTCCCTGATAATTAATGATGTAGAACATTTTTTCATGTGCTTTTTTGCCATTTGGATTTCTTCTTTGAGAAAGTTTCTGTTCATTTCATTGCCCCATTTTTTGATGGGGTTGGATGTTTTCTTCTTGTGGAGTTCAACCAGTATTTTGTATATCCTGGATATCAACCCCTTGTCAGATGTGTGTTTGGCGAATATCCTTTCCCATTCTGTAGACTGTCTTTGTATTTTGGTCACTGTTTCTCTTGAGGTGCAGAAGCTTCGTAGTTTTAAGATAGTCCCATTTATCTATCTGTCTTCACTTGCTCGGCCAGTGGCGTGGCATCTTTGAAGATACCATTAGCTTCAATGTCATGGAGGGTTTTGCCAACTTTGTCTTCAATGTACCTTATGGTTTCTGGTCTGATGTTGAGGTCTTTAATCCATTTTGATCTTACTTTTGTACATGGTGTTAGGCAGAGTTCTGAGCCCACTTTTTTGCATGTAGCCATCCAGTGATGCCAGCACAATTTGTTAAAGAGACTTTCCTTACTCCACTTCACATTACTTGCACCTTTATCAAAGATTAGATGATCATATGATTGAGGGGAGATGTCAGTGTATTCAACCCTGTTCCATTGGTCTGCAGTTCTGCCTTTGTTCCAGTACCATGCTGTTTTAATTATTACTGCTTTGTAGTAGAGTTTGAAGTGCGGGAGGTTGATTCCTCCCATTTTCTTTTTCCCAAGAATTGCTTTAGCTATTCGTGGGGGCTTATTGTTCCATATAAATTTCAGGAGTGTTTGCTCCATTTCTTTGAAGAACGTCATGGGTATCCTTATAGGGATTGCATTGAATTTATACAATGCTTTCGGTAGTGTTGCCATTTTGACAATGCTAAGTCTCCCGACCCATGAGCAGGGGATATCTTTCCATTTCCTCATGTCCTCTTTTATTTCCTGAAGTAGCGTTTTGTAGTTTTCTTTGTACAGGTCCTTTACTTCCTTAGTTAAGCTGATTCCTAGGTACTTGATTTTCTGGGGAACAATTGTGAACGGGATCATTTTATTCATGTAGCTTTCTTCTCTCTCACTGTTTGCGTATAGGAAAGCCATGGACTTTTGGGTATTGATTTTATAGCCTGC